GCCAGCCCCGCCAGGTGGGCCGAGATGGCGGCGGGCGTCGGGTGCGCCAGCCCCAGCTCGACCGACGCGGCCGCCATGGCGTCGAGCGAGGCGCGGCCGTCGCGCGTCAGGCCGGCCGCGAGCGCCGACAGGAGGTCCCTGCGGACAGACGCCAGGTCCGTGGCGGCGTCTGGGGGATCGCGCTCGCCGCCATCGTGGCCGGTAGCGGCGGCTTCCAGCTCCGCCAGGGCGTCGGCCTCGACGGCGGCCAGCAAGTCGCGCTGCTCGTCGGCCGACTCGTTAAGCGCGGCCAGGGCGAGCAGGGCGCGCAGGGTGTCGGCGTTGCGCTCGAAGCGCGGCGGGGCCGGCCGGCCGCGGAAGCGCGACGCCAGCCAGGCGTCGACGTAGCTCCAGTCCTTGGCGGCCGAGGCGGCGGCGCGGGCGACCGAGGGGGAGAAGATTGCGGCGTCGTGGGGGAGGCGGGACATTTTTATTTTTTTATTAGTGTCTTTCTTGTAAGTCACGTTTTGCCTGCCCGTGATCTGCAGTCACCGTCACCGTTACAGTCACCGTCACACGGGAAGGTGCCATGCGGGCAAAGGAACAAGGGCGGCGACTGCCGGATTGGGATTTCGGAGGCGGAATGGAATGGTCGAGCGTCAGACGGACAGCTTGCCCCGGCCGGCAAAATCTGGGTGGGGCCCAAAGGAACGCCATCGAAGATGCTGGTGGGGCGCTCCTGGGAAGGGGCCAGATGGCCACAGGGCCCAATGCAGGGGTGCTCGTGGCTTCAGGGTACTTGTGCCGCCGCCTGTATTTGCGCGGAGGTCCAGGTACCCCGATCGATGTTGGCTCCTTCCCTGCATGAAATTCGGCGTCAGAGGCGCGCGCCCCACCCCCTGAGCAGCAGCCCGCCTGCCAACTCTGGCTTCATTGGATTCAGCTGGCCACGCCTTGTCCGGCCTTTTTTGTGAAGCGAAGCGAGGCGCAAGCTGGCATTTAATTTTCTGGCCTCTCCCGCCGCCCTCAGCCAGCGTTCCAGTCCTCCGCTCCCTCGACATTCTTTTACTCTCCCCTCTCGTTTCCACCACCTGCGTCGAGAACTGGCCCTCTCCGCAAGACCTCGGCTTTTCTGGTCGCATTTGCTTGCCTCACCACCCTCGACAAACCAACAGCCATGCTCGTCCGCCTCTCTACAGTGGCGCTCGCCGCCGGCGTGCTGACCTCATCGTCGTGGCTGGGCGCCGTCGCCATCTCGGCCGAGGACATCGCCAGCGACACGCCCTTGTCGCAGCTGCTCACGTCGGCGCAGAGTCACCTCTCGCGCGGCGAGACCAGCGATGCCCTCATCTACTACGACGCCGCCATCGCCCGCAACCCCTCCGACTACCTGACCTACTTCAAGCGCGCCACCACATACCTCAGCCTGGGCCGCACCGCCCAGGCCACCGACGACTTTAACCGCGTGCTCGACCTCAAGCCCGGCTTCGAGGGCGCCCACGTCCAGCTCGGCCGCATCCGCCAGCGCTCTGCCGACTGGGCCGGCGCCCGCGAGCAGTTCGAGCTGGCCCGCAAGACCAAGGGCCACCCGGAGATGGACGACCTGCTCGAGGCTCAGGCCGCCGCGGGCCTGGCCGCCGACGCTGACAAGGCCGGCAAGTGGGACGAGTGCGTGCAGAACGCCGGCGTCGCCATCATGGTGGCCAACCGCGCCGCCGCCCTGCGCGAGATGCGCGCGCGCTGCCGCTTCGAGAAGGGCGAGGTCGAGGAGGGCATGAGCGACCTGCAGCACGTGCTCAACATGCGCGCCGGCGATGTCGGCCCCTACGTCAAGATCTCGGCAAACGCCTTCTACGCCCTCGGCGACCTGACAAACGGCCTGGCCCAGATCCGCAAGTGCCTGCACTCAGACCCCGAGTCCAAGCCCTGCAAGAAGCTGCTGAGGCGCGAGAAAACCATCGAGAAGGCGCTGGCCAAGGTCGAGAAGGCCTTTTCCAAGAACCAGCCAATGACGGGCACTAGGTTACTCGTGCCGTCCTCGGACGACGAGGGCCTGATCAAGGAGGTCAAGGACGCCGTCAGTGAGCTGAGGGAGGACGGGACGATCCCCAAGGCGGCGCCCAACGTGCTCGTGGCGAGGGTCGTTGAGCTCGCATGCCAAGGCTACTACGATGTAGGTACCCGTGTGCAACCTTGGTCATGGCATGACATGCGCATATTGCACAAAGCTAACCGCCGATTTACCCTTGATACAGATGAGCAGCAAAAAGGCGCAAGCGTTCTGCGACGAATCACTCCAGCTGAACCCGGATTCCGTGTACGGACTGCTCCACAAGGCCAAGTTGCAGCAGGAGAAGGAGCTGTACGAGGAGGCCATCAAGACGCTGGACCGGGCACGGGAGCTGGCACCGGAGCGCGGGGAGATGATCGATAAGCTGCTGAACGATGCCAAGATCGCGCTCAAGCGCAGCCAGACCAAGGACTACTACAAGGTGCTCGGGGTGGCACACGACGCCGACGAGCGGCAGATCAAGTCGGCGTACCGCAAGCTCAGCAAGCAGCACCACCCGGACAAGGCGGCCAAGCAGGGGCTCAGCAAGGATGACGCCGAGAAGAAGATGGCGACCATCAACGAGGCGTACGAGGTACTCAGCAACCCGGAGCTGCGCGCGCGCTTCGACGCCGGCGACGACCCCAACTCGCAGCAGCAGCACGGAGGCGGCAACCCCTTTGGCGGCCACCCCTTCTTCCACCAGGGCGGCGGCGGCGGCCAGCAGTTCAAGTTCCAGTTCGGCTCGGGTGGCGGCGGTGGCTTTGGGGGCTTCCCCTTCTAGTAGACAAGATCATGGGCGGCGCTTGTTTTTGTTCAGCATTTTTTTTACCCTTGTTGTTTCGGTGGTCCCTACGCTGTGATGATGATGCTGGGTGGGGGAGTCGAGGTAACCGACTCGTGGCGGGCGGTGCGGGGTGGATGGGGTCGATAAGGCCTATGCATCCTTCATTTACGGTGTTTTGAGGTGCCTGTAAAGCGGCTGAGAATTACTTGGGGTTTACCTATGCATATTCATACCAACCCAACTAATACACGAGGCGTGTACTTGAGGCTGCGCGGCGTCATGAGATGGGATGATATGGATGTTATTGGAACACATGCATGATGGAGAGAGAAAAAGACGGTCCCTACAGCGGGTCGAGTTCAAACGCCGTTTCGATTGTGTCGCCTCCAAAAGGCAGAGAACCTTGGCCACACTCAACTCCGAGCCCCTAAACGAGACAAGAAAGATGCATGAAGATGAAATCGGCACGAAAAAAAAAGGAAGGAAAGCGAGAAGAAGAAAAAAACGGGTATATATGTACAGTTAGCAGCATTCCCTTCTCTACATGGCGTTGGAAATCCCTTTTTTTTTTTATACGAACTCCCCCACGCACTCAGTCGGACGAGGACGTGTTGCGGCGGACAAAGTAGGCCTTTGAGGCCTCGTATGCGGACCAGCAGATGGCGGTGCTGGGCATGGTGGTGACGACGCGGGGGCGCATGCCCTTGAAGAAGCCGGCGACGCCCTCGCGGGCGTAGAGCAGGCGGCAGCCCGACGCGAAGCCGTTGACGCTGCGCAGCTCGGCGTCCGAGTGGGTGCCGCGCGTCTGCAGCATCGTCTTGATGACGTCCATGGGCGTGGTGAGGGCGGCCGCGAAGCCGCCCGCGACGCCGCCGGCCATGCAGTGCGTGAAGGGGTCGTACTTTTTGCTCGGGTTCATCGAGGTCGAGATGGACTCGTAGGCCAGGAACTGCAGCGCCGTGAAGGGCACCGTCATGGAGAGTGTGGTCGGGTACGACACGTAAAAGGCCGCGAGCCCCTCGTTGCGGTATAGGAACTTTGCGCAGTCCGTCATGGACCGGTACATCTCGCCCGACCCCTTGATCTGCATGCGCTGCTTGATGACTATTGGGGGGGGAGCCGGCATTAGCGTGTGCTGCGACCCCTGACTGAGATATATAGCGCCAGAGACTCACCATCAAAGGGGTTCATCAGGGCATCGCTCGCTATCGTTGCGCAGGCGCCGCTCGTCACTGTTTGCCCGTGTTAGCATTACACGTCCGTCCACAGCAGCAGCTCCGCGCGGGGCCAGGTCCCCGCATCTGGGGCAAGGGCAGGAGCTCACAAGCAGCAAGAGGATGGTGTTCGCCCGCCTTGTTGCCGCCCATCAGGTGTTTCACGGCCTCGTAGGTGGCAAAGTAGACGGCGTGTGCCGGGCCTGTATAGGTGGCATCTGTTAGCACGAAAAAAAAAGTGACCCTTGGTTAGCCCGCGATCAGGGCCGACGCATTCCGTACCTGCTCCCACGACAACGCTAGACATGCCGCGCCACAAGCTTAGGATGCCCTCGGTGCTGGCGATCCTGTAGGTCCCTTGCAGCATCCCCTTGTAGGCGGCGGCCGAGCCAGGGGCGCCGACGATCTGCATTCTTGTCTATGGGAGAGAAAGAGATGGGTGTCAGGGGCTTTTGCGGTCCAACGGGAGATGGCAGCTGGGGGACTCGAGGACTATTCGCGTACCTTGAGCGCATCGATCGGGTACATGGCCGTGTGCTCCTAAGAGTGGGCGTCGGTTCTCGGTCAGCGTATGACACAGTACAAGCGCATACACATGCAAACAAAGGGGGGGCTCGACGAACAGCTATCCCCGCAAAGGCGCCGGCGACCATGTTCTGCATCAGGGAGAAGTTGGGCGGGAGGGCCTCATAGCTATCGGGGCCAGGTCAGCGCGGACTGTCCGCCCCGTTCTGCTGGACGGGCATATATATTCAGAGGTTGCCAACAACGCACTCGTAGTCTTCCTCGGGCTCGGCATTTGGCTGGGCCATGGTGGCCACAGCACTAGATGCTGCGCCAAAAACGCCCTTTGGGTCCTGGAGCGCCAGTGTGACGACGGGAGCCGAGGCGTCGCGCGGAGGGCTCGTGGCTCCCTGGGTCTGCATCCGACGAGACTCAGGGGGGGTTGGTTTGGCCCAGAAGGGAGGGTCGCGCTGCAGGCTCGGGAGACGGATGCCGAAGTTTCACGCGGGCTGCTGCTGCTGCTGCTGCTACCGAGAGGGACGACGGCTGGCGACAACAGATAAAGAGATGTGCTGGACTCCAGAGCCTTGGAGTGGGACGTCGATGGAGTTGGCTGGACACTCCAATTGAGTGGCCGAGCGGTATCGCTGGTGGCGGGCAGGCTTTGGTGGGCGCTTGCTTTCGTTGGCCGCGATGCGATTTTTTATTCTGTCGTCGCTTTTTTTTCCAGCTGCACCTCGGTCGGGCTCTGGCCAGTTGAAGCTCCGGCGGGTTGGGGCTTTAGTGGTCGGGCCGGGCGGGACAGGGGTATAATACCCCGGAAATGCGCTGAGGGCCAGGTAGCCAATCCGCCCCAACACGATGATAAGGAAAAATGCCGCGAATGGAGAGCACGAGTGTTTCGGCCGAACCGAGATGCGCTTTCAACGGGCAGTTAGCTAAGCCCGAGCTGCCGTAGGTGCCAATTCATCGGAGAAGTTCAATTCGATACGACACAGTCGGCTCTTGGTAAACCCCCTTCCCATTCCCAAATAGCAATCCCTGACACAGGCTGGAGGCCGAGGTCGGCGACTGGTGCGCAAAAGACGCTCAATCTGGGGAGGAGCTTCCTTGGGCGCGGGACCGAGGCCCCACCCACACCCCCGCGTCGCTGGGTTTATCATATCAATCAAATCTCTCATGTTGTTTTGACCTTGTCCATCTTGGCTGCTGCTGCTACTGCAACACGATCTGGATCTCCCTCAGAACCTCCACAGGTAGAGCATCTTGCTGTAGAAGCTGGTCGACACGCACGTGAGCGGCCCGTCCTCGCCGCCCGCCGTGCCCGCGCCCGGCTGGAAATCGGCGCCGTAGTTAAGCATCCTGTCGCCCTCGCCGGCCTCGACCCAGCCCCCCAGCACCTCCACCTCCCAGCCCCCCAGCCCGTCCACCCCTCTGACCTCCAGCGCCCTAGACCCCGCGCTCATGCACGGCGCCAGGAGCCTGACCCTCCACGCCCTGGTTCCGTTGTTGGTTCCGTTGTTGTCGGCTTCCGAAACGGCAAAGCTCACCAGCCTCAGCCGCCACGCGCCGCCGCCCACGTGCGCCTCGGCCAGCACCCTGTACTGCGGCGCCCCGCACGCCAGCTGCGGCGGCAGCACGGCGAGCACGCGCACCCTGTCGTCGTAGCTGCCCGTGACCACGACGTCGTGCCCCGAACTCAACTTGACGCCCAGCGGCAGGATCGCCACCACGCCCGCCTCGTGCGGCCCGCGCTGCATGGCCACCGCGTCGCAGACGTTCGCAAACGGACCGTCGTCGTCGTCGTCCTCCTTGGGCGCGCAGGCCACGTAGCGCAGCGCCGAGTCGTCGCCGCCCGAGTAGACGACGAGCGCAGGTGTTGCCGGGCCGAACGCGACCGTCCACGCGGGCTCTGTGTGGGTTAGCAGGGCGGTGCGCGTCATGGCCGCGACCGCGAAGCCGCCGTCGTCGGTTTCCCGCAGGCGGGCTAGGTGCACGTCGCCCGCCAGGGTGGAGAAGGCGAGCAGGCCGAGGACGGTCGGGTGCCAGCAGCACTTTGTGATCATGACCTCGTCGTCGGCCGAGATGGGCCCGATCGTCAGCAGCTGCTTCAGGGGCGCAGTTGGGGAGTCGGCGGCCGCGACCCGGTAGACGAGGACCGTGCCGGCGCTGGTGCCCGCGGCGAAGACGTCGCGGCGCCCGGCGTGCGGCTGGAATTCGAGGTCCCAGATGGCGCATGTCGGGTGGGCCTCGGTTTGTATCTTTGTGCTTGCTTGGGGTCAGCCTGACTGCCTTTTCGTCTTGTCGCACAAAGTGTTTGACGGGGAAGCAGATGATGTTATAGTACATTTCATCCCCTATCAGCCGGTAGACGTCAATGCTGCCCTCGTGCTTCTGCTTTTTGGTGGGTTGCGGAGCGTCACCCGTGTGACTGCATGACTCCGGCTTGTCCTCAACGAGATGCCAGGAGCCCATGACAAAATACTCTGGCGTTTCTGGGCAGAACCCGATGCAGGCGGGCTCCATGTCCAGCTGGACGGACCGGACGGTGCCGGCCATTCTGCCATTTTCGGTCATGCCTGCCAAGTCGGTAGATAAGTCACCTATTATGCCATGTAGCTCTACGTGTGTTGAGCGCCTCTTTTTTCAAGGTAACTCCCCTGGATCCGGGTCGTTGGCTGTGGTGATGCAATGTGAAAAAGTTGGTGATGTTGAGCGTGCCAGGACGTGGGACCACCAAAGATTTGCCCCGCTGTTGTTGCAGCAGTCAGGTACGAAAACCGTGGGCAAATCTACGCAAGCTGTTTGTGTTGCGAATCACTTTACCCGTGTTGCTCAAACCTCGATATATAAAACTGTAACCTAGGCATAATGCGTTTTTTTTCTACTAGGGTCGTTGCGGAATGTCCCACGCCATCAACATCTCCACGTCCTCATATCTCATAAGACGGCCAGAGGATTTCTCCTCGACGTGCGGTATCAGTCGATGGCCTTCGGCTGACTTGCGGTTATACCAATCACTGACCCATGCCACAAAAGACACATCCTAGGTTTTCCGTTTCACTTATGTAGCGCGATGACAGAATCACCCGCCTACATGATTGATCATGCCCATACTTATTCGTGGCAGAGTCCAGTGTCAGGCTGCACCCAAAATGGTGCGAACTCGGCGTCTAAATCCTCAGGACTTTTGTGTTCTGGCGGGCCCTGATTTCTCACACCTAACGGGCGACCCGACTACCCGCCGGCGGCCCGAATCTGCTCAGGCCTCGGGTAGTCAACGACGTCACTCTCGTCGAGGGCCAGGTCGGTGGCCTCGTCCGGGTCGATGTGCTTGAGCAGCAGCACCAGGCGGTAGGCGCTGCTCCCGTTGAGGTAGTAGCGGTGCAGCTTCTTGGAGCGCATGAAGCCGAGGCGCTCGTACAGGCGCATGGCGGGGGCGTTTGACTCCTCCGTCTCGAGCACGACCTCGTCGGCGCCGCGCTCGGCCATGGCGTCGATGGCCTGGCGCACCAGCGCCGTCGCCACGCCGTGGCCGCGGAACGGCGCCGACACGGCCAGCATGGCAATGTAGCCGCGCCGCGTCGGCGGTGAGTGCGACGCGTGCGTCTCCAGCTTGCAGATGACGACGCCCACCAGGGAGGCGTCGGTCGGGTTCAGCGCCTGGCGGCGAGGTCAGCGCACGTCGCTGTACAGGAGGGGTCCCGACGCTCAGGGCCGACGCGAGGCAGGCTGTAGCTGCGGGGTTGGGCTACATGACACGTGCACATCGCAAGAGACAAAAAGGTGGGACTTGCCATGAAGCAGAGGTGGCCCCATTGGTACAGGAAATATCGGTAGACATATATGCTATACGGCTCGCTCAGGTCCTTGGAGATGAGGGCGCGGATCGAGGGCAGGTACTGCTCCTCTAGGTCGTGCTGGTAGCGCAGGTAGCGTAGCTCGCCCGGCAGCCTGTCGGCGACGCCGCGGCTGCTGTCGCCGACATCAGCGGCCGCCCCGTCGGGCATGGCGGCGGCGACGAGACCAGCGGCGACGGCCATGGGGAGGTGCGTGCGTGCGTGGCGCAGACCCAAGGCGGGCTGGGGCTTTCTCTCGCTTTCTCCTGCGCAAGGACGGGCCGAGGTGGCGCCGAGTCTTTTTTAGCAGCAGGCCCGCCCGCGGAGAAAAAAAAGGCGTTGGGTGAGATGGCGACGGATCTGGTGCTGTGCGCGGCGTCGGGATGGTGCTAACACGGGGCAGTTGGCAGCATTAAATGAGCAGGAGGGGAGTATGGAGGGGTTCAAACAGCGCCTAGGTTGTCGGCCAATGCCGACTAGGTAACCCCTGGCGAATCGTAGAAGGGCCTGCCCAGAAGGCGATCGACGATCTCCAAGCCTAGCTCGTGCCTGTCCTGGGTCGATCGGTCCTGGGCTTCACATGCATTTGACGATGCGGCTCGCAACTCGGCACAGCGTCCTGACGCAGAGATGCTCGCCCTTGGCATCATCTCTTCGTCCCAGCTTCTCGGGCAAGGAACAAACTCTTGAACAAGGCTTGGTTCTCGAGGCGACTCCAGCAAGAACCCACTCTCGCGCATGAGTCGCGCACACACCCAAAAGGGACGCATGCCATGCAGTGCCGCCGCTGATTGGCCAGAAACTCCAAAATCGCCAGGCCGCTAGACCGCATCCAGCATGCCCGCCATGCACATGGGATGATGGCTTTGACGTCAGCCCTTGGTTTTTCTGGTCGGGCTAAATGATACCAAAATTAATTAAGGGGAGCCCCGTTTCCCCCATGTGATGATCGTCCGACCAGCGTCCGCCCAAGCTTCGGCGCTGCCGCCCGTTTGTTTCCTCTAACGGCCCGTGGATCCCAAGGGGTCCAGGCCTAGCTTGGCTGTCTGCCGTTCTCGGTCGGATGGATACGGTCTGCGTCGGTACATTCCAGTCCCTCTCCTTCGCCTCGCCCTTAGGACCTGTCACCCTCCTCGCCGTTCCTGTCCATCGCCCGGCGCGCACACAACTGTTCGCGACAGACCACACGCCGCCGCCCGTCCCCCGTCCTGCGCGATAACCCTCACCATGGCTACCACCCTCCGCCGGCGCGCCCTCAGGCAGGAAGAGACACCGTCCTCGTCACCGTCCCCGACCCCCACCGATACCCCCAGAGATGTCAGCCCGGCGCCGCTACAGCCCGCAAAGGACAAGCCCAAGACGGCGGTGCACCTCAAGCCGCGCACGCGCAAGCGCCGCAACACCTTCATCTTCTTGCTGGGCAGCTTGTCAGGCATCATCGCGGCCGGCTTCTTCGCAAAAACGAACGACCTCATAGACTTCCCCGAGATTGGGGACTTGAGCGTCGACAACCTGTTGGACGTCCTGCCTGCCGGCCTTGTTAGGGATATGAAGGACCTGGTCAGAGGCGAAAGAGAATTCGTCGACAGCTACGAGTCCTTTTCGGTCGGCACCAAGGCCAGGCTCGACGGCCTGGAGGCCCACCACCCAATAGTCATGGTGCCTGGTGTCATCTCGACCGGCCTCGAGTCCTGGGGCACCGCAAACGTGTCGCGCCCCTACTTCCGTAAGCGCCTGTGGGGCAGCTGGACCATGATGAGGGCTCTCGTCATGGACAAGGAGATATGGAAGAAGCACATCATGCTCGACAAGCAGACGGGCCTGGACCCGCCCGGCATCAAGCTGCGCGCCGCCCAGGGCTTCGACGCCACCGACTTCTTCATCACGGGCTACTGGATCTGGAGCAAGATCCTCGAGAACCTTGCGTCGCTGGGCTACGACCCTACCAACTCGCTTACCGCCGCCTACGACTGGCGGCTATCGTACCCGAACCTCGAGACCCGCGACCAGTACTTTACGCGCCTGATGATGTACATCGAGACGTCGGTGCAGGCGACGGGCCGCAAGGCCGTGCTCGTGTCGCACAGCATGGGTAGCCAGGTCATCTTCTACTTCTTCCACTGGGTCGCCTCGCAAAAGGGCGGCCGGGGCGGCGACGACTGGGTGGACCGCCACGTCGAGTCGTGGATCAACGTGAGCGGCTGCATGCTGGGCGCCGTCAAGGACCTGGCCGCCGTGCTGTCGGGCGAGATGCGCGACACGGCCCAGCTCAACGCTTTTGCCGTCTACGGGCTCGAGAAGTTCCTTAGCAAGGAGGAGCGAGCCGAGATCTTCCGCGCCATGCCGGGGCTCTCCTCCATGCTCCCGCTCGGCGGCGACGCCGTCTGGGGCAACTCGACCTGGGCGCCCGATGACCTGCCCGGCCAGGACAGCACGTTTGGGCAGGTGCTCCACTTCCGCCGGGGCCAGAACTGGACCACGCCGACACCCGAGCGCAACCTGACGGTCGACAACGCCATGAAGTACCTCTTCGACACAACCGAGGACTGGTACGTGCGCGCGGTAAAGGGCAGCTACTCGCACGGTGTCGCGCACACAAGGGAGGAGGTCGAAGCCAACGAGGACGACCCGACCAAGTGGATCAACCCGCTGGAAACGCGGCTGCCGCTGGCGCCCAACTTCAAGGTGTTCTGCTTCTACGGCGTGGGCAAGCCGACGGAGCGGGCCTACTACTACCGGTCGCCCGAGTTCCCGTCGCTGACCAACCTCAACGTCACCATCGACACGGGCCTGACCCAGGGGGACATCGACCACGGCGTCATCCTGGGCGAGGGCGACGGGACCGTCAACCTGCTGAGCTCGGGCTACATGTGCAACCGCGGCTGGAAGTACAAGCGCTACAACCCGGCCGGCGTCAAGGTGACGGTCGTCGAGATGCCGCACGAACCTGAGCGCTTCAACCCCAGGGGCGGGCCGCACACGGCCGACCATGTCGACATTCTGGGGCGCCAGATGCTCAATGAGCTCATACTGCGCGTCGCCGCGGGCAAGGGCGATACTATTGTCGATAATGTCGTCAGTAATATCCGGGAGTACGCTGAAAAGGTCAAGGTGTATGACGACTAGCGTCTTGTCCGTGGCCCGCGTTTGTTTTCTTGTGTTTTTGGCAGCTACATTGTCGTATATCCCCCTAGATATGATTCCATTTTTGTGTTTTTGGACTCTCAGGTGTGGCCTGATGGGAAGCGGAACTGGAGTCGGCGTTTAGAAGGATGGCTCCAGAGCGGTTAGTTGCAAATAATGACCACCGATATCTCTTAGCTTTTGTTAGCTTCTAAAGTTTACAAGGGGTTTATTGGCTAGGTTTGCTGTTGTGTAGCTAGAGTCATTGTGGCTAGGTATTGTTACAGTCGAAATATCCGTTATTGGATGCATAACTCAGCGGCGGTTAGTCTTGGTCATCCCAAAAGCCTTGTACCTGAGTCAGCATACCCCTGAGCCCCTGAGCCCCTGAATGAAACATCACACACATGAGAAGAATACCGAGTCAACCTGGCTGTCTTGACTTGGCTACACGCCTAATATCAACACCAGCCAGGCAGCTGGGTAGAGTTGAGCGTGGCACATGCCTGAGCAAGCGCGAGCTGGTACTGCAGCATACCGACTGCGAGCGAAGCCGCGCTCAGCCCGATGGACACCAACGCGAGGACGATGACGAACACCACTGCCAGCCAGAAGTTGACAAAGTCTCGGACGGCCCCCGGCCCCCGGCCCGGCTTGAACTGCCTCAGGCCAGTAGGACCCGCGGCCACGATCTCGGATAGTCTTTCGAGGTTTCCCCTCCAGTATTTGTACTTGGCCAGGTCGAGGGCCCGTTCGGCAGGACGCCCGCACCACCCCAGACCGTATATGTATACTTTCTCCCGCGGGGCGAGCTTGGCGGAATCCTCGCATTGCCAATCCTACGGTCTTGTCTCAAGCAGCTGCTACCGGAAGTCGGGAACATCGAAGAGCTCGCGATGTACGCATCTGGCAATGGGAGCAAGATCTTCGCTATCCTCGCCCTCATCAACAAACCCCAGCAAATCACGGACTTTTACCAAGCAAATGTCTCTAATGGCAACTTGCCTCTCAGACGGAGTGACGCCTATTTCGCTACGCTATTCGCTGGCCGGAAATTGGTTGAGACTCGGCAGTTCGATGAGCACTAATGGTATCTGCTCGCGCCATTCTTCAAAGGTGTTATTGGCAAGTATCCACGCCATGCCTTCCACGACCGCACCATCTTGCCCTTCACGGAGTACGATCCCAGCCCAGGGAAGAGAGGCGTTCTCGGCACCTACAAGGCCCGAATCCACCCGTCGCATCACGGACTGCTCGGGGTTGATGTGAGACATCTGTTTCCCAGCGCGGTAGTTGCTAACTCAAGGCTCAGTGCACATGGATAGCTAACGAAATACACAAAAAGCAGGGATCCGACAACGTAGTTATCAAGGCTATGGGGCACAAAAAGGAAGACTTCAGTCAGAGAACGGAAACGTACGAGGCGCTCTGGTTTACCCCAGGGCTGGTCGAGCCACTTGCGACATTCACTTTCCAAGGAGGCGACTATCTGATTCTACCATGGGCCGACGGGGGAAGCCTCGCCGACCTGTGGGCTGCGAACCCCATGCCGCAAAAGATCACTCCCGAGCTATGCCGTTGGACCTCCAGCCAGTTTGAAGAGTTGGTAAGAGCTATCAGCATGAGCACTCAACTGGGGCCAGCTGCCGCAGAAATGGGAATCACCGGGCCAGGCCAATATGGCAATTTGCAGCCCGAGGACATCCTTTGCTTCCGTCGCGAGGTGTCCTGTGGAGGGGTGACCGACTTTGACCTGAGGATTCTCAACATCCGGGCGACGACACCGCATGACCAGGCGGCTGCTGCCTGGTCTGCACCATACTCGCCGCCCGATTTCGGCATTGGATCCTTAACGCCACGGGCGTCCGATTACTGGGCTCTCGGCTGCATCTATCTCGAGTTCACCACGTGGTTGTTGTTGGGTTACAAGGCCGTCGAGGAGTTCACGAAAGCTCGCAGAATGGATTATGGCGACGGGTCAACCCTCAACGAAATGTTCTTCTTTCTGTCACGTCGATACAGAGGGGGACTCTGCCCCAAGGTCAAGCCAGTAGTCACGCAGGTTAGTCCTCTCTATTCGAAATATCCCTTTCTCTCCCCTACATACTTCCCATGTGCTAAATCTCTCGCGGGTGATGTAGTGGTGCGCGCGGCTCCAAAACCACTCCTCCTGTACGGCAGCTCTGAGGGACTTCCTTCGGTTCATTGAGCATGACATGCTCGTCGTCGAACCCTATCAAGATTCCATGACTCCCAAGGCGGCAGACGATTTGGGGAGCCGGGGTCCTCAGACCGTGATTACCTTGCCCGAGGAGCTGTTGCCTAGGCCCGAGGAAAGACAGTCAAGTAAATCGCTAAAGGGCAAGGTCGACTCTATAAAGCTTCAACGTCAACTGTGGTATCTGTCAAAGGAGACCAGGACACGTGTTTTCCAAATAGCGCCTGTGCTTGGATATTGTGTGTGAGATGGCTGGCCGCGGTTGTTGAAGACAGGCAGAGTTATTGCCTTGTCCCATTAGAAGGGGATTTGTAAAAAGGAAATGGGATAGGCACAGTATAGGAGGCCATGCTCGATAGAAAAACGGTTCGTGCCGTCATTTTTAGGTAACCAACGGCCCCGCGGAGCCAGCGGCCAGCCGCTCCAGGGCACCGTCTTCGCTGCGGCTCGGATAATGGTGGGGTTAGACCCCCACATGTGCGCTCCGAGCCCGCCTGACGCTGACGCCACAGCAACATAAACGTGGGCCCCAGAATCGTGCATGGTTCAGATGTCTGGTCCAGGCCAGCTCCCTCGCCCCGACTTCTTTCCCGTCTGTCAATCCAGCCCCAACCCCAAAACGCGACTGACCAAATCCGACAACTCGCGGCAGACTTGGGATGAAACGACGGTTGGCCGCCGTTTCCCTCGGGGTTTTTGGTTGAGTGAGCGACACGACCGCCCTGCGCTCTCATCGTTGGCCAGCCCAGCCACCAGTGAAAAAGGAACAAACCCACGGGCGCGGTTCCCCGTCCCCACCTCGGAATGCCCACGCCCTGCTCGACGCCGGCTCTATCGTGACACAATGGCCACCGACCTGGCGCTGGCCGGCAACGGCTCCCCGCCGGTCGAAAACGAGGAGCAGTTCTGGAAAGGTCGGCGGCCGGAAATCCCAATTGGCTCCGTCGGCCGTCGCTTTCGCGCTGCGTCGACGTGCAGCGGACCCTCGCTAACCGTGCGCCCCTCCCGCATGCAGAACTCGCCGCCATCTTCTCCCGCGACTGCGCCGGCTCGCACGAGTCCATCGACGACACCCTGCGCGCGTGGCTGCACCTGGTGTCGTCGTGCCGCGAGCTGTACCTGGTGACCGAGGACGATGTGGCCGGCTGCTCGCAGCTGCTCGTCGACAGCGCGACATTTTGCCAGAACCACGACTACGTGCGCACCCAGATCATCTACAGCCTGCTGCAGGAGGACGAGGTCGGGCCCATCCACGCCATCGCCAACTTCATGCTGCTCGACGGCCGGTCCGACGAGGCCGTGTTCCGCCGCATGATCAACGACGGCTGCTTCCCGCGCCTGGTCGGGCTCATCAACGGCACCCGCGACAAGGACCGCCGCCTGCACCGCCTGCTGCTCGAGCTTGTGTACGAGATGTCGCGCATCGAGCGCGTCCGCCCCGGGGACCTGGCCCTTGTGACGGACGACTTTGTCACTTATATGTTTCAGGTCATAGAGAGTTTATCTGATGACGTCGACGATCCTTATCACTATCCCGTAATACGCGTATTGGTATGTTCTGGTGCTGTCTTCAAGGTCCGGGGCGAGAAGGAAGCTAACATCCTTCTTCTTCTTTACAGTTGGTTTTGAATGAGCAATACATGGTGGCCTCTACCACTGCCGCCGTCGACCCTGCATCCGCAGATGCGGCACCGCTCCTGACAAACAGGATTATCAAGGTTCTCAGCCTCAGGGGGCCGGATTTCAGGACGTTTGGGGAGAATATCATCCTTCTGCTTAACCGCGAAACCGAAACCTCGCTGCAGCTCCTAATATTGAAGCTTCTCTACCTGCTATTCACCACCAAGGCCACATACGAGTACTTCTACACCAATGACCTGCACGTTCTGCTCGACGTCATCATCCGCAACCTCCTCGATCTGCCGAACGAGTCCATGTCGCTGCGACACACCTATCTTCGCGTGCTGTACCCACTGCTAGCGCACACGCAGCTCAGCCGCCCGCCTCACTATAAGCGTGAGGAGGTCAACCGGATGCTCTGGTTTCTTGGGGGCGCGGGCAACACGCACTTTGCGCCGGCTGATGACACCACGGTTCGACTGGTCGACCGCGTGTCCAAGGTCAAATGGCTGAGCGGGCCTGAGGGGTACGTCGAGGGTGAGGTGGCGCGGAAACTCTTTGGCATCAGCCTCTCCGAATCTCAAACCGCGAGCAGCGTTAGTGTCGTCGACGTGGCCGCGGTGATGGAGAAGCCGGGTGTCCAAACACCAAGTCGCAAAGACGAGCAGCCTGGTGTCGACACACTAAAGGATGAAATTCACGCCATCAACGACGACGCGCCACTCCCACCGGCAGAGGTCGCCGCTGCCGTTGCGGCAAGGCCAAAGAAGATCCGGCCCGAGGTCCCGAAGCACCGACACGGGAGGCTTCTGACGCCGTCGCCGTCGCCTCCGGTGCCCAGGAGCGGCAATGCTGTCGGTAACAGCGGCGCAGCGGCGCAGCCGCAAAAGAAGATACCACCAAAGGCACCGCCACCACGACGAGGGACAAGGTTGCGACAGGCGGCGTCTGCCACGAACCTCAGGGGACCGGAGTCGACGCCGGTTTCCTAGGAGGGAATACACGTGTCGTCGGGCGGCAGGGTCCGGCGATGGCGGCAAGGATTCACGTCAACGAACGACTCAGATCCGAATAACGACACGGACGAGGGTCTGCTGTGTGGGCTTCTGTCCCGTCGGCGGCACCGACCAACTATAAATGACGAATGAGCTTAACGCGCTTTGCGATGCCGCCACGATTGCGTTATTTTCTCTGGTGGCTTTTTCCCCTCGTTGTCGGCATGATGCATTCTGGTATCTCTTGATATCATGTAAGATTGCGCCATGGTGTAGATGCGCGGCACGAGGCGTTTATTATGGTTATATACTTGTTAATACTCTGTGCGGGTCTCGACGGGTGAGGTTTCTTTTCTTTTTGTTTGTGTCTTCTTCTTGCTGTTGTTTCTCTTCCTTGTTATAATTCCCCTTCCCTTCCCCGCATTGACATGTCACATATCGCAAGGTCAACTCGACTCGACTCGAGATGTTGGAGCATACGTTGGAAACGTTCTTCGGAAGAACAATGGAATACCCCTGGAAACCTCGGTCTAGAATTGAGCAGATCTGACTTGAACTTCATTTCCCTCATCTCTCTACTGAATAGCCCACCAAGCAAGCGCATGATGTACCACAGAATGCAGTGGAATCGCCCCTCACACTCACGAGAGTGGTTGCGTCTAGGCTTTGTCGCGTACACGTAATGACGGTGGCACAGGCCGGTTTGGTTTTCTTTGGCGGCAAGCCAAGGTAGTGTGGCACAAGTTCCTGCAGGCTAACGAGCCAGAGAAAGACCGAGACACTGGGCCGCGCAACCAATTGGCCATCGTCAACTTGGCTGTGTGATCGACTTGTGGGGTGCGAGAAAACCGAGGCCAAATTTGGCGCCTTATTCTGTGCCGACCATCCAGCCTACGTCATCGCCCGGCTCTCCAATTCTCCGTCAGGGTTGCGACAAAGGGAACCAGCACGCAAAAATGCGCCATGTTGATTTTAGTGGCTCGTCGCAAACAGCGTCGACGTAAACGGACACGGACGCAAGGGAGACGTGGAAAAAAAAAGAATATGGAAACGTCTGTTGGGAGAAAATAGCTGTGTTGCACAGAAGCTGTGCTGCGTGGTGTGTTGTGCTGTGTTATCAATGCGGGTGATCGCCAGCATCATATGAGACGAATCGAATGAGATTGTGGCTTCAGTGGGCGAGTGGCTTCCAAATACCCGGTGGTTTGGTGTCTGATGGATCTACGACGTACGCGGGATATGCATAAAAAGCAAAAAATAAAAATAAAAAAAATCCAATAGTGTCCTTGTGTTGTTCGATCTGTTCCCTTTGTTCTGGCCTGAAGATCGCCCTGGATTTCGAGAGTGCCACAGCTCCGGGCCTGTAGAGACAGTCACCACGCAGTCTGCTGCAACGTGCCGCCCGCGTCAAAGGGGGGCGGGGTCCCTAGCGCTGTTAGCGGGTGGGCCCAGAGTGACAGCTCCCCACTGCCAGGATCCGGATTCGGCCATCTCATCTCCAGACATAACGTCACGGCCAGACGAGCGAGGAGCCCCCCAGTCGAGAGGCCTCGGTACCGACCTGCAGCCGCTATTTACAAAGAAATGGCGCCCGACGACGACCCCAACCGCAACTCCACCTGCACTTCGGAACCTCGCAGCCCATCGTTTGACCATCACCAACCTCATCGTGCCACCTGCCACACCCAGCGGCGCTGCCTTTTCGCGTCTGGAGCATGAACTGAGCCAACCTAATTGGACCTTCTCCAATACGTGGCGGAGCGGGCGCATGTGCAACCGTCGGCCTCCAGTTGTTGTACCTCGAAAGCACCATCACTCGTGACGAACGCCTGCCTCGTTTGGGCTTTTAACATTCGCCCACGCCGCTCTAGCTCCCACCACCATCACTTTTTCTGCGCGGCTTCTGCGTTAAACACCGACTGGAGAACCCCCATTCGCCGTCTGTGCGACCGGTTCCAGACTAAAAAGGGTCACTCCCGCCTTGCAGATCGCCCGACCAAACCTTGGCCGAGCCAGCAGGGCGGAGGTTGCCGCCGACAAGCTCCTTTTTTTTTATCGCTCGGGTCGTCCCAACAATTGCGTCAACCATATCAGCCATGGCCAGCGCTACTCTGCCGACTCCGTCACCGCACAATGCCTCCCTGAGCCGCGGAGGCGGAGGAGCTGCAATATCGCCTCACCCCTACGGCCAGAACCCCGGCCCTCACCAGGATCCCCTCTCCAGGACCGCGGGCACCACCAGCAACGAGCCCGCCGCCGCCACGACCAACGGCTACTTCTCACACTACGACCCCCACCAGCCCGCGAATCCGCTGCAGGACGCCGCCGCCACCGCCGATGACGAGCTGACGTCACTCAACACCCGCTCAAACGCCCTCTCGCCGTATCACCAACCCGAAACTGACCTTGCCCACGCCCCGTCCACGTCGACGCACCGCCCGGCCAAATTCACCGAGGAGTGGGACGCCTCGAGGCGAGGCAGCTCTATTGTTGACGGGCCTGGGCCCAGCAGCTCTGCTATGCAGCGCGCAAACTCGTACGCCGGCTCGACTGCCGCTAGCCGCGCCGAAGCCGACCATGCCGCCACCACCCTTTCCAGGGGCAACACCCTCAAGAAGAAGGCCTCGCTTAGGCGTAGCGGGAGCCTGAAGCGCAGCGGCAGCCGCCGCAGCATGAAGGCCGGCAGCGTCCGGAGCCTGGCCTTGCAGTCCAGCCTGGACGAGGACGAGATGCTGAGCCCCTTTTACTGCCCCGTGTCCACCACGGGCAACCCCACCGAGGTCCTTGCGAACCGTTTCCAGGCCTGGCGCAAGATCCTGAAGGACCTGATTGCCTACTTCCGGGAGATCCAGACGCACTACGAGCACCGCTCCAAGTCGCTGCTGAAGCTTGCCAACGTTCTCAACAACACCTCCATGCCCCCTGGCTTCCTCACCACCGGCGGCCTCGACGAGGCGCTCAACATACTGAGGAATTACAACAAGCAGGCCGTCGCCGAGGCGAACAAGGCTCGCGACATCGAGGAGGACGTGATCCTGGCCCTCACCGGCCTGCGGAGTGACCTGCACCAGAAGATCAAGGAGATCAAGAACCTGTCCGGCGACTTCAAGAACACGGTCGACAAGGAGACCGAGGCCACGCGCAAGGCCGTGAAGCAGCTGAACGAGATTCTGGGCCAGGCCGACGCCGACCCGGCATCCACAACCGGCAAGCAGGACCCGTATCTGTTGCGCCTGGCCGTTGACCGTCAGGTTGAGAGACAGATCGAAGAGGAGAATTACCTACATAGGGTGAGTCCGCTGCTGCATGTCACGTCAGTCTAGCCATATATGTCTAACAGTTTGGCTATGTCAGGCGTATCAAAACATCGAGAGGTCTGGGCGCGATCTCGAGTCGATCGTTGTCGGGGAGGTGCAAAAGGCATACAACGCCTACGCTGGAATTTTGAAGCGGGAGGCCGATGCCGCTTATGGCACGGTCGACGAGCTTCGGACTGGGCCTATCGCAATGCCCAAAGAGGAAGAGTGGCGTGCCTTTGTGAAGAAGGACGACAAGTTTGTGGACCCGGATCTTCCGCTGCGGTCGGCACAGTTCATCCACTACAAGGGGCGGGATGATCTGGCCTGCCAGGAGATCAGGGCTGGTCTGCTGGAGCGCAAGAGCAAATACCTGAAGAGCTATACGGCCGGATGGCGAGTCGACACTGCCCCCTGTCTTGGCTTCGGGGCGACGGCGAATGCTAACACTTTCGATTTAGGTACGTGCTGTCGCCGACACACCTCCACGAGTTCAAGTCGGCAGACAAGACGCAGGCGCCCGTCATGTCGCTCTACCTCCCGGAGCAGAAGCTGGGGTCCCACTCGACCGAAGGCGGATCGTCCAACAAGTTCATCATCAAGGGCCGGCAGACAGGGACAATGCACCGGGGCCACACGTGGGTGTTCCGGGCCGAGAGCCACGAGACGATGATGGCATGGTATGAGGACATCAAGGCCTTGACGGAAAAGACTCCGGAGGAGAGAAGTAACTTTGTGCGAGGGCACTCGCGCAGCTTCAGCCGGACGTCCCAGCGATCCATCAGCAGCGACGGCGTGGTCGACGAGGACGACGACGAGCCCTTCGCACCCGATTCGGCGGCCATAAGGCAGACCCCGACGCAGGACGTGCTGCCGAGGCGTCCTTCTCCAGGTGGGCGATTCCCATCAGACATCATGGTCAACGCACAACGGGGCTTACAGGCGCCTCTCTCGCCCGCAAGTGTGAACTCGGGTTTTCTCCCAGCAGGAAACGCCAGCTACGGCGCCCCCGGGCCGGCAGGCCAGCAGTACAAAGGCGACAACAGCAGCAGCCGCGACGCCATAGCCGCCGCCGCAGGGCTCCCTGGAAGCGACATGGCCCAGTACCAACAACAGAACGATATCCCCCCCTTGGGTTACGGCAGCACTGTGCGGACCCCCATCATCCAAGCCTCGTCACACGCGGCCCAAGTCAGCCAGGAAGCGCGCGAGGATGGAGTGAATCCCTACACGAGCGAGCCTATCGCAGAAGGGGACTCATGGGCTGGCGGCGCGACCGGAGCTGACGTGGGGGTGTCGCGAGGGCTGAGCCAGCGGATTCTGAAAAGCCCGGCTCCTGCGGCTGCGACTATTACGTCTCCTACTATACGCGACGATGCTATGGCTGCGAGGCATCAGCCTGATATCTTTCTCATGAGCGGGAACTTGCCAGACGCTGAGGGTAGTCGACGTGAGGTCCCACGCAGTGTGGAGAGACAGCCGGAGGGTACTGTGATGGACGACGCTGTCTCGTTTCCCCCACAGACAATGTCGTCTGGTGGATTGAGCAGCGATGCGGATAGCGACTACTTTGTCGGCCACTCCAACGGATCTGCAAACGGGCGTGGCAACGTTGGCGGCAGCAATGGTGTCGCCCGTCCCACGACTAGCACGGCCCGCACCGACAGCGCTCCCACAATCTCACACCTCCACATTCCCGGGGAGTACCCGAAGTCTACTCCCGCGTTGCGCTGAGACCAGGGGCTATGTTTCTCTCCCCTCGGTTTCTTGGAACGAATCGGGTTTCGGCAACGGGCGAGCCTCGGGAACTGTTTTGCTTACCTTCTCTCCTTTTGCTTCACTCTCGGACTCCTCTCTCCCTCTTTATCAAAGAACCCACCCCCTTTTCTACTGCCTCATTCCTCTTGTTTTTCGTCTCTCACTTTCACAGTCAAACCCTACCGAATCTTTGGACAGAAACAGTCGCATTGTTATGTTTTCATAGTATTTCTTTCCGACACGTCAGGCGGGTGCAACTGGGGACCTGCCCTGAAACCTACATCACACGAAGTAAGCCCGCTCGTTTGGGAAGGGGAACACGCGGATAAGGGAGAAACTTGTTTGTGAACCATTTCCCATGCAAGAAACAAGTTTGTTGCAGGCTTGTGAGCCCTTATAATGGATTGCGCCGTGACATGTGCTGTTTGTATATTTGGCATAATCCCTTATTGGAAACCCGCCTGTAGTTTCGCTCTTCTGCAGCCTCGACTCAGCGACGCAGGTGCTGCCGATTGGAGTTTCTCACCTGCAGGCGCACTTGTCTCGGATCCCCCCTGAAAACGCAACCGAGCATGGAGCTTGGGCTTGTAGATTGGTCACCCGAAGGTGTGAAGAGGGCAAACAAACGGAACCGGGCTGCTTTGCATCAAACCCAAGCCCGTTAGCATACTAGATGTTTGCGCTGACTCTGGGGGTGGGCTGAGGGACTCACCGCGGCGGAACTAGTTGCCCACGTCAGAGGTGGTCTCGTTACCGTCGACGTAAGCGGCCATGCAGCGGCGGCGGCAGTATGTATGTGTATGTATGTATGTATATGCAGGTCATAACGCGGGACATCACTAACAGGTGATACAGATACAAGAAGCGAAACCGCCAACGGTCTTTGTGGCTTCTTTTGCGTTTGCTTCGTATGGCATGCATGGTCAGCGTACCTGCCGGACACGGTGTGAATTACAAGGGTTATTTTTGGTGATTCCTTGGTCTCGCGAACACATTTGTTCCAAGGGATCTCCCGGAGGTGCAGCATGTCTGCTGACAGCTTGCTGCCAGATGTTGGGTGTGTGGGTGTGTGGGTGTGTAGCATGGCAGGCAGGCATGCCGGCCGGCTGTAACCCCAACTCCCCCACTGACCGGGTTCGTCCTACGGCCTTTTGTGTTGGCCAGACCCAATAGAGCAGAAAATGAATGGTTGTTATCTGAGTGAGGGAAAACAGAAACAGGGAATACCCTCCCATGCTCGGACCGGGCGGTCGGTGTTGCTTATCCGGTCTTGACTTTCCCTTTGCATGGGTGTTCTTGCTGAGGACCGAGTGGGAAGAGGAAAAGCTCGGATGAAAAAAAAAAAGATGATGATGAGTTTCCTGCCGCTGGCTTGGGGTGTGATTGTCAAAGGAACCGGGGCACATTTTGAAATGCTTGCGTGGCTTGTAACACGCGCGTTTGTATCTACACCAAACGGTCCGAGGCTGCGGCTAGGGAGCCGTCAGCGGCAGTTGGGTCTGCTATCTTGTCCTCGGGCAGTCCGCGCGGCTGTGCAGCGAGCGTCTCTTGCTCGCTCGCCGGTGAATAGGAAGGAGGAAGCAAGAGATAGCGCTTACCATGTGTGCCCTTGATTGGATTCTTTGGGGATGTCCGACGTGATGATGGGGAGTGGAGTGGGATTAGACTGCGGGGTCAAACGGATTGCCAAACTAGTGTGCGTGATTGGCCAATATCGACCCAGCGAGGTGGATCGGGCAGGTAATCGGCAGGGGTTTGGCGGTTGGTGGGGCCAAGGTTCGTGCTCTCAGTCGTGGGTGTTAGCAGGGCAGATCCTTATTCCCTTTCAGCCTTCAGCCTCGTTAACCTCGCTCGAGAACGGGGGCTACCTTACTCACTCACCCAGCGCACTGGCCTCTTATCCTCTGCTAGTCCTCAGCCAAATTCCACTCCAGTCCGGGACTCTACTTACTCGTTTCCCGACACTGAACAAGTGCATATCCGAGGCCTTCGTTCGAGACGGGCCGGGAGCGACTCCCATGCGTGCCGGCCTGTTCCAGGTGAAGCTCGGGGGCAGGATCGGCATCAAAGTGCGACACTGCCTCGGTAGGGCTGACATGGTCGAGTGTCCCTGCCGACACAGCCGCCGGCTCCTTTGCCGAGCTCCTTGTCCGCCGCTATGGCTGTCGCTGGACAGTATACGGTGCACACACCCCATCCTGTCCGCGGACATGCCTGCCTCCTGCCTGTCGAGCTTGCAAGACACTCACGTCGGCAGGTGCAGGCAGTCATCTGCAGCTATGGCGACTAGGAAAACGGATGGGCCGGTCTTCCCTCGCCCAAAGTTGGGCTGGTGTCCGTACCTCCATCCTAGATACCCTACATACCGCGGTGTGTGCGCCAGGCTTGTTTGGCCCCTTACGTGTGTACGCGCCGTCAGGATGCATGTACATTGGCACTCGGCCCCCTCTAGGGTCTTGGCCATCGGCTCCTGCTCCTCCCCGTCTACCTTCTCCCCTCCGCCTCTTGACTACTCAGCCCGGCCAGGTTGCCATCCGCCCAGCTGGCCAAGCCTGCCCTTCTTCATGTTTTATCACGGCCACAGCCTGTGTCTCCTCGTCTTCCCAGTTCTTCAATTCTAGGTATTCCACATGCAGGAAAAGCTTCCATGGCCACATCATGACTCCCGGAGCGTCCCAGCACCAGTCCGTCTGAAACGGCAGCCTCCCGCCCCAAACCTTGTTCCACGATTGGCCCGAGCAGTCTGAAATTACTCGAGACGGTGGCGTATGCCTCGAGCCCCGAGCACCGGCCGGTATATCCTCGAGTAGGATAGGTTTTGAGAGCCTGAGGCGGCCTGCAGATCTCCTTCTTCCAGACCTTCCAAAACCTTGTTCTTCGTCACTATTTTTCATCAACAAGCATCACCCTCGTGGACGAGCGAGTGGTAACTGGCCGGGACGAGACATGATGGCTGGGGAACGCGATGAGCGCACACCGGCGCTTGCTAATGCGTCCACCACGAGCCTCGCCGGCGGCGGCGGCGGAGGTGCGGACATCAGGAGCGCCTCTGAGGCCATGCAGAGGGCGGCCGAGGCCATGATTGCCGCAACAGAGACCTTCAGGAGGCAGTTTAACGGCCAGGAAGAGTTACAGGCGCCGCGGCGGCCGCTGACCTACCACCCATACTCGCCCGTGGCCGTCAACGATGTGCAGCATCAGCATCAGCATCAGCATCAGCATCAGCATCAGCAACAGCACCGGTTGCAGCAGCGCAAGTCGATGGGCTCGCAGCCCGGGTCGAGGACGCCGTACCAGGACTCCTACGCCCATCCCATGCCCATCTCGTCCGCCAGCAGTTTGCACAACCTGAGCCGGCCTCCCACGATCCACACGAGCCCGTACCACCACTACGCCAACCCTCCCTACACTCCTCACATGCCAGCCGCGACATCACTCCCTGATTTCATACCCAACCGGCCGGCCCTGCCGCCTTTAGTCATGGGTCGCGAGACCAACGCTTTCGGGGCTCGGGTGCAGCGTGGTACGGCGATATCGGCTTATGACGACGGCTACCAGGCTCTGCCGCCACACCGGGGCCCGGTGCCAGGCAACATGACGCCGACAGCCGACTGGACAGCCCTCAGTGGGTCTACCCCGACCCTGGCAGCCACCTTGGGCCCGCAGCTGCCTGGGGGACCGTCACCCAACTTGTACCGCCCACCAGGTACCCCTTCTGGCCAGCACATGGACCTGTTTGAGGCCGCGTACAAGCTCAAGGTCGAGACGCAGAGCCTCATGGCCGGCAAGCACAGCCCCGTGCGCCCACGCTCGCCAGTGGACGAGCCATCGCCCGTGGTGCAGATCGGCAGATATACGTACATCCGGTCCGACACGGATGACCTCCGGACGACGCTGATCAACACCGATTATGCGCCTGGTCTGGTGGGCGATACCAGACAGCCGCCGGACAGCCCCATAAAACCGCCGCTGGCCCCGATGGGAGGGGCGGACGACCGGCCGTACGGCTTCACGCTGACGCGCGAGATCGCCTTTGTGTGGATGGTGTGCGTGTCGCAGCTGCTGATGCTGGCGGCCATCGGGCAGGCCATGGTGCCGGCGCACATCATCGGGGAGTCGTTCCCCAACACGACCTTTGGCGACATGGCCTGGTACTCGGCCGCGTACGGGCTGACGGCCGGCACGTTTGTGCTCCCCGCGGGCCGGCTGGGCGACCTGTTTGGCCACAAGATGATGTTCATCGTCGGCTTCGTCTGGTTCGGGGTCTGGAGCCTCGCGTGCGGCTTCGCCGGCATGGTGCAGCAGGGCGGCGGCAACGGCACCGTCTTCTTCTGCGTCTCGCGCGCCATCCAGGGCATCGGCCCCGCGCTGCTGGTGCCCAACGGCCAGGCCATGCTGGGCCGCGGGTACAAGCCGGGCCCGCGCAAGAACATGGTCATGTGCCTGTTCGGAGCCGCGGCCCCGCTGGGCTTCGTCATCGGCGCCGTCATGGGCTCCATGTTTGCCCAGTACGCCACGTGGCCGTGGGCCTTTTGGACGCTGGCCGCCGTCTGCATCGCGCTCGCCCCCATCAGCGGGCTCGTCATGCCCAACACGGGCGTGACGCGGCGCAACAAGAAGGAGTCGCTGTGGTCGCAGCTCGACGCCGGCGGCATGATGCTGGGCGTGGCCGGGCTGGTGCTGTTCAACTTCTCCTTCAACCAGGCGCCCATCGTGTCGTGGGGCACCCCCTACACCTACTTCATCCTGGTCATCGGCGTGCTGCTGATCGGGGCCTTCATCTTCGTCGAGACGGTGGTGCCGCACCCGCTAGTGCCCGTCAACGCCATGAAGGCCCAGACCGTCTTCGTGCTCGCCTGCACGGGGACCGGCTGGGGCTGCTTCTCAGTCTGGGTCTTCTACGCCATCATGTTCCTGCAGAACCTGCGCGGCTGGGGCGCGCTGCTGACCAGCGCCGCCTTCGCCCCCGCCCCCGTCACGGGCCTGGCGGCGTCGCTGCTGACGGGCTACCTCATGGCGCGCATCGGCCCGCCCTGGATCATGTTCATCTCCATGTGCGCCTTCTTCGTCGGGTCGCTGCTGCTGGCCACGGCGCCCGTGGACCAGAGCTACTGGTTCAACACTTTCTTCGGCATCCTCGTCATGCCCTTCGGCATGGACATGAGCAACCCGGCCGCCGTCATCCTGCTCAGCAACAGCGTCAGCAAGGAGCACCAGGGCATCGCCGCCTCGCTCGTCGTCACCGTCGTCAACTACGCAATCTCCATCGCCCTCGGCTTCGCCGGCACCGTCGAGGTGAACCTGCACAGCAACGGCAGCGACCTGTTTGCGGGCTACCGCGGCGCCCAGTACTTTGGCCTGGGCCTGGGCGGCCTGGGCGTGCTGCTCGGCGCCGCATTCCTGCTCCAGACCCGCGGCGCCAAGCCCAAGGGCCCGCCGCCGGGCACGTCGACCACCGGAGGGCCTGTGCCGCAAAAGGCATGAATGAAGAGCCATCTTTATCCTGTTCCAGTGATCTTACCACGCACATCTATCTATTATTTCCTTTGTTTGCGAGGCGTGGTTAATATCTTTTTTTTTACCTTCTCCCTTTCATATCACTCCTTTTGCAAGCGCCTTCACCACATGTCATGTGTATAATACAATCCTTTGAGTTTTGTGGCTATTCCTTGCGATGTGTGATGCATTTCTCGTAGGGCGAAAAGAGAAACACGGCTCGGGCTCGGGCTAGGTCTGATGCTCTTCACCGAAGCGGGCTGAGAGTGCAGCGAGCTCACTTAGACCATCAGCTACTGAAACATGCCATCAGACGTATGCCGAGCCACGATAGAGGGTTCTCACATGACACAGAGGCAAGGTCCACGCTGCTCATGACTTCAACGCCCTTCGTCCAGCCAAGATGATAAACGTTTTCTGTATTCCCAGACACAAAAAGCAGATATAAACACAGCAGAAAAAAAAACATGACCTCCAAGCCTATAACGCCATGAGATTGTTGATTTTGCCCCAAACGTGGTGCCAGATTCCGTCGCGAGGTCGCTCGCCCTTTGTGGGTCGAGGGAGGGTGTCGTCAGGAGGGCCGTTGGGGGGGGACGAGAGTGTGCGTAGTGACGAAGCGCGGTAGCGATAAGGTAGCCATAGCCGCTCTACCTGCTGCCCCTGCCACGGCTGAAGCCACCACGACCGCCGCCGCCGCCCCTCGAGAAGCCGCCAGAACCGCCGCCGCGGCTGAAACCACCACCACCGCCGCCGCGCGAGAAACCACCACCGCCTCCGCCGCGCGAGAAGCCGCCACCTCCGCCGCGGCCGCCGCCGAACCCACCACGGCCACCACCACCCCTGGGCGCGCCCCTACCACCCCTCATGCCGCCACCACGACCGCCGGCGGGCTTCCTGACCTTGGAGACGGATCCCGGGGGCGGCTTGGGCTTGGGCAGGAAGCGCTCGAGCGGGAGCAGCTTCTCGCTGGCGATGTAGAAGCAGTCGCCGGCCTTGAAGGACGTGGGCTGAATGCCCTCGGACGGCTTGACCGTGAAGTAGACCTGGCCGAGCGGGCCCAGGATCTCGTCCACCTTGCCGACGGCCGTCTTGTTCTCGAGGTAGATGGGCGCGCTGAAGTGCGGGATCTTTGCGTTGATCGACTCGCACACCATCTCGCCCTCGCACGCGTGCATGAACTTGCCCATCTCGACCACGCTCGCCGGCGGGCCGAAGTCGCGCTGCTGGTAGCCGCCGCGGCCGCCTGGGGGGTTGTGGTAATGGTAGTGTGTTAGTTTTTATGTGTCGGCCATTCGTGAGGGCTAGTTGGGCTGCTGGGGGCGCATGTACCTCCTCCTCCTCCACGGCCGAAGCCTCCACCTCCGCGTCCTCGCGGAGCTCCTCTTGACGCCATTTCGAGCGGCCTTTGCGTCTCCTGTCTGTGTTTGTCTTTTCGGGCTTGGCACGATTGCAGTCAAGGCGCTAAAGCGGCTCTGTTCGTGTTGGTTGTGAAACAATTGGTCGTTGAATGGGATGCGGTTTTGCGAATCCACGCAACCGCCGAGCTTGAAATTCTGCCGCGAAGCTCCGACGTGACTTTTTTTTTTAGTCTTTTTTTTTTCTACCGCAGCTCAATTAAGGTCGGACCCGCATCAAAGATTTTCCGCCTTGTTTTGTGCCTGAATCCTTGCCCCACTCTAGACAGCTCCACGACCCTCCGGGGAAACCCCACTCCAGGTCTTGAAGGAGCTATTAGTGTGGTGGGACATCCCCTTCCAGGAAGACAAATACGAAAAGGAAAGTGAAGGAGGAAGAAGAGAAAAATAGGGATACAATAAAGAAAAGAAAGGAAGCAAAAAATAGAAATCGAAAGAAAATGAAGAAAAGGGAACGAAGAACTCATGGCACTAACAGTCTTAACTGTCCAGTTTGTGAGCGGGCGTGCCCCACCTGTAGTGTTAGGGTGGGGACGAGGATAAAGTTGGGAGAAAGGGCCCGTCCGCCGTCACAACCTGGGGCTCGTTCACCTTGAACAACAGTTCAAAACAGATCCAGCTGGCTCACTTTGCCGTGCCGCGACAGGAAAGCCCAAACAGCCCCCAAGAGCCGCTTCGTCTTTGTTGCACCTGCCTTGTGTGGCAGGTGGCAGGTGGGTGGCAGCTTCTCGTTGGTGGGTAGAACCAACCAGGCGGTTGGGTTGGCCCATGGAACAAAGCTGAACCTTTACGACCGGGCGCTCTCTCGACGCCTCGGCTCTACTCTACACACATCATTTCCTCCGTCATGACCTTTTCAGACTTTTGCCTCCTCGAAGTCGAGGACGCACGCGGCATCTGAATCCCTCTCCATCACTCTGGAAATATTTTCTAGTTGAAGCCCGCTTGTACACTCTTGCAGGGCAGGCAGTAGGCGGGCTCTGCCTTATCCAGCCTCTTAACCACCGACTTTCCAGCATTTATGCCCAACCAGTCGCGCCTCACCTTGATTCATCAACATCGCATCGCATATTCTCCCTAACCAGTCTGTGCTTATTGTACTCTCACAAAGTCAAAAATAAGCAAAATTCCCACACCATATCCGACGAGAAGAAAAAAAGCAGCCATGGCAAGCATGTCTCCCGCCCCCGCCGGCGACCAGAACCGCATCGCGCAGCTGTCGCCCGAGCTGCGCATCATGATCTTCCGCGAGGCCGTGCGCCAGGACCGTCCCATCCGCATCGCGCACGACAGCCCGGCGCTCGACGTACTGCTAGTCTGCCGCCTGTTCCGCGGCGAGGCGACCGAGTGGTACTACCGCGAGAACACGTTCGTGGTCGAGGACCCCGTCGCGGCCCTCATCTGGTCGAGCCGCATCGGCCCCTACGCGCGCTTCGTGCGCAGCGTCCAGCTCGAGGTGGACGTCTCCCCGCTGTCCGAGGACGCCTGGGCGGTCCTGGGCGTGCCGCGCGGCGGCCACGACACCCAGTGGAAGGGCGTCGTCGCCAACCTGCCGGCATGGTTCCCGCGCCTCGAGGAGCTGCGCCTCGCCGTCGTGGCCCACCTGCTCAAGCGCGAGGTCGGCCCCGACGCCGAGCCGCGCGTGCACCGCTTCGCCGACGTGGCGCGCGAGCTCATCAGTTACCTGGACGAGGACGAGGACGGGTGCCTCTTTGCCATGGAGCGGGAGTGTCCCAACTTTGCCGCCTTGCGCATCGGCTCGCCGTTCCCGCGGGAGTGGGAGCTCGACTACGTGGACTCGATGACGTTGTGCATCTACGAGACTGACTCGGACGGCGTTCGCTGGTATGAGCTGCACGGGCCTGAACCGACACCATCCGAGACCGAGGAAGAGGAGGAGGAGGAGGAAGAAGAAGAGGAGGAGGAGGAGGAAGAGGAGGAGGAGGAGGAAGAGGGAGGGGATGACGACGACGGCGACGATAACGAAAACGAAAACGGCAATAACGACAATGATGATAACGACGATGATGACGAATGACGATGGCAACAACAACGACCAAGATGATAAAGAGAATGAGGAAGGCAACGAAGACGATTAAGACAACGAAGAGAATGCGGAAGGCGATGGCTATCAAGTGTAGCTCTTGATCGACTTCAGAGACCCATGATGAGCCGGTCATGGCCGTTAGATCTATCTCACCCCACAAAGCTGGGGGTTTATGAGTGATCCAGAGCTGACACTCACCAGCCGATCGACTCTGGGAGTAGCCACACGCGACCTGAGTCTCCCCGGTTGCATCAGCAGAACCACCCAGTCCGGTGGCTAGCGGCGGGGGACACGAAGGAACGCGCAACGGGGGACGCACCGAGCTCATCTGTATAAACCGATTCCTTTCCCATCTTAACTCGTCATGGCAGGCTCATCCAACATACCTACCCGCGAGCTCCGCAATCGGCCTCTGTAGACGGGAAGTCAAGGAAAATAGGACTAGACAGAATCCCAAACCCACTGTTTTACGGCGCGGAAAACGCCGACGTACGTCAATTCAAAAAGCAGCAAGAAAATACATATGAAAACAGCAAAATGCGGCCCATCCAGTGGCCAGTTCGCCCGCATGATAATGGCGCAATGCATGCTCTACGAGTAGTGTACACTATGTATGTGGTTTTTTGTTTCGTCGGGCTGGCTGAGGTAAAGGGGGGGTCGAGTCATGGAATTTACAGAAGCATCCTGCGGGGATCTTCAATGTACTCCTTGATCTTGACGAGGAACTGGACGGCCTCCCTGCCGTCAAGGAGGCGGTGGTCGTAAGTGAGGGCCAGGTACATCATGGGGCGGATCTCGACCTTGCCGTTGACGGCGACGGGGCGCTCCTTGATGGCGTGCAAGCCGAGCACGGCGCTCTGGGGGAGGTTGATGATGGGGGTGCCCATGAGCGAGCCGAAGACGCCGCCGTTGCTGATGGTGAAGGTGCCGCCGGCCATGTCCTCGATGGTGAGCTTGCTGTCACGGGCCTGGGTGGTTATTTGTTAGCAAGGAGGCTTCGTTCGACAAGGAACATATGACTGGAAAACCCACCTTCTTTCCGAGATCGGCAATCGACTTCTCAATGCCGACCAGGTCCATGGCCTCGACGTTGCGGACCACGGGCGTCACCAGGCCCTTCTCAGTGGCGACGGCGACGCTAATGTCGACGTAGTCGCGGTAGACGATGGTGTCGCCGCCGTTGGGGCCCTCGATGGAGGCGTTGACGGCGGGCAGGTCGCGCATGGCCAGCACGGCGGCGCGCGAGAAGGCGCTCATGAAGCCGAGCTTGACGCCCGTCTTCTTGAGCACCTCGTCCTTGTAGAGCTTGCGGAACTCCATGATGGCCGACATGTCCACCTCGTTGAACGTCGTCAGCGACGCCGCCGTGTTCTGCGACTGCTTGAGGCGCTCGGCGATGCGGAGGCGCATGCGGTTCATCTTGACCTGTAGGTGGGATAAGGGGGTTAGATAAGGGGGTTAGACTGTGCGACAGGGGCAGGTCGGGTGCGCGCCCGCTCTCGGGGTCCATACCTTGCGCTCCTCACGGCTCCCGAGCGTCGGGGCGCCAGACGACTCCTTGGCGGCCTCCTTCTTGGGCGGCGGCGCAGGTGCGGACTCCTGCTTCTTGGGAGCCGCCGCCTCCTCCTTGGGCGGCTCCGGTTTTGACTCGGTCTCTGGCTTCTTCTCCTCCGTCTCCTTGGGCGCCTCGGCCTTCTTCCCGGCGCCGCCCTCGGGCGGGGCGCCGTCCGTGTCTAACCTGAGCAGGTCCTGGCCGACCACGACCGTGTCGTCCTCGGCGGCCAGGAACTCCTTGATGGTTCCCGCGGCGGGCGCGGGAACGGTCACGTCGATCTTGTCCGTCTCGATGGTGGCGATCTCCTCGTCTAGCTCGACGTAGTCGCCCACCTGCTTCAGGAACTGTTTGAGCGTGCCCTCCGAGATGGACTCGGCCATCTGCGGCACCTTGACCACCTGGTCGGCGTAGGCGCGCAGCTGCTGGTACAGCGCCGGGAGCGGCACCCGGCGCAGCGGCTGGCGGGCCGGGCTGAGTGGCAGCAGGCGCGCCGCCGTGGCGAGTCTCCGGGACAGCATCGTGTGGAAGGGCGAGATTAGGAGGGAGGGGGGGCAGCTTCTGGAGCTGGGCGGGTCGGGGAGGTGGGTTGGAGTTTATGGCGAGTTGCGCTGTCAAAATGTAATGTTCGAAGAAACGAGGGAAAAAAAACAGGACAGTTCCAAGTCTCAGGTTCCGTCAAACCGACCTGGTCAAACAAACAAGCTTGCAATTGGAGAGGACAGCCGCAGTAGTAGTCCGTGCACAGGTGGTGGAGTCGCTGTTTCCCCACAGCACCACTACGAGACAGCGGGATTTAGCGGAACGCCATTACTACGGCACGGCATTTCTCTCCAGCGTCATCGACCTCAGCTTACGATTTGAGGCCATTCTCAAGTTCCGCTGAGACGAGTCACTTTCAGATTTATGATGCATAGGTAGTGCCAGACGGGAAGTCAATTGCCCAGCTAGGCGGCTTTGGATAACTTGGTGCGTTTAATTAAACAATAACAAAGCGTAGACAATCATATCTCCAGCCAGCCTGTAGGCAATTGTTGAGTGCAACCGCTGATGCTGTAATGATGAATGATGCATGTCAAGCGGCAGAAGGTGCAGGCTGGCTTCTGTGGCGGGCGTCAACTGAGCCACAGACGCTGCCAAAGAACGCAGCCAATTACGGATCACATGACTGCGCAGCGTCCCCCACGGCCAGGCCCACCCAGAATTCCACCCACAACCTTTTTCCATTTTGCGTGCACCAAACTCTGGATTTCCTCGCTTTTTTCTTTTCTTTTTCCAGCGCAAAACGACGACGACACCATCGCCCTCACTAACCACCACAACCCTCAGCAGCAATGGCTCCCACCAAGAAGGGCGAGGCCCCCCGCACCGGCCTGGCTGTCGTAAGTAGACGCTGTCCTGCCGCTGTTCGAATCTGGCGCGATTAGGACGATCCAAGCTGACTTTTCCTCCCTCCCCAGGGCATCAACCGCGGCTTCGTAAGTCCGATGATCTCACCTCGTGGAGGATCTCTGCGCCAGCCCTCGGCCGACGACAGGGCTCGCTGCAGCTGATGGACATCGCACTGACCTTTCGGAACTGTTTTGCACCAAAAAGAAAACCACCCCCAGGGTCATCAAGCCCCGCGTCGGCCGGACCAAGGGCCACCTGAGCAAGCGCACCGCTTTCGTCCGCGAGCTGGTCAAGGAGGTCGCCGGGTATGTTTCTGCGCCCTTGATTTTGAACATGCTGCCGTGGTTCTTTCGCTAACTCTCCGCAGTCTTGCCCCCTACGAGCGCCGTGTTATCGAGCTGCTAAGGAACGGCAAGGACAAGCGTGCCCGCAAGCTCGCCAAGAAGCGGGTAAGTCAACAGCAACAATGCCTGGCGGATGCGACACGGCTGGATCACTAACATTCTCCTCTCTTCCCAGCTCGGCACCTTCGGCCGCGCCAAGGCCAAGGTCGACCAGCTCCAGGGCGTCATCGCCGAGGCCCGCCGCGCTGGTCACTAAGCAGCTCCGGTTGTATTCTTTCCTTTTTCGCCAAAAAAATACCGAGTTGATGGCCCATGACGGAAAAAAAATGGAATCGTGGGAGGAATCAAAAGACGCGGCGTTTGGGCCGCACCACAGGTCCGGCACGGTTTAGGCTAGGATCAATCTGGAATCACCAGCATTTTGGGCATTGACTTTTGATGTTGTACCAATGGGGCGTACCGGCGTGGAAATCAACAGGGTTCTTTTTCCATCAGTACTGTTGTGCCTGCCAAGCCTGATCTGAGGTGTGACTTTTTATATCTTGCATGGTTCTTGCGTCTGTCTGCGTCCATCTGCGCTTTCCAATTTGGTTTGCACAACCAGGTGGGCAACTTCGATTATAGCAAGACGCTAGCTATCACTGGACGAACTCTTTTGTCGGTGCCACGGTGCCAGTGGCATGTGACGGGATGGATCTAATACCGGGTCGGCTATGAAGCGAACAATCTCACGCGGCATTCCACAGCCGAGGCCCCGTCAGCTCAGCGGGTCAGAGGGCAGAAAAACGGCGCATAAAAAGGGCAGTCTTGGCCCCGCGTCTTTTTGACTCGTGGTAGGTGCGTTGGACGGGCGAGAGAAGCAAGATACCCACCTTTCATACACAGTCTTTGGTTTTTCCGTTCCCAGATCTCTTCTGGGTAAGTTCCTGGATGGCAGCTGTTTGGCAACCATGTACCATTTGTCCACCTCCAGGACCAATCTGAGAGAAAGAGTGAGGCAACCCTGATGGACAGCAGCTGCTGTTGCTGCTGCAGGCCGAGCGCGAAAACCCCCCCACCCAATCATCACCGCCCACCCCCGTCCGGCCCGTCCAACCACAACAGCCCGCGCTAGAGTCATTATGTCGGCCGACTTTTGGGCCGGCTACATCAGCGGCGCCGCCGGCATCCTGATCGGCAACCCGCTCGACGTCATCAAGGTGCGCCTGCAGGCCACCACCACCATCACCACCACCGCCACACCACCACTAGCACCGGCGTCACAAACCCCCGCTCGCCCGTGGGCCACCCTCCGCGCGCTGGCGGCCGGCACGGCGGCGCCGGTGCTGGGGTACGGGGCGCTCAACGCGCTGCTATTTGTGTCGTACAACCGCGCCGAGGCGCTCCTCAACGGCGGCGGCGCCAGCAGCACGACCGGGTCGAACCTGTGGACGACGTGGGCGGCCGGCGCCGCGGGCGGGCTGGCCACGTGGGCCGTCAGCACGCCGACGGAGCTGGTCAAGTGCCGCGCGCAGCTGGCGCAGCCGTCGTCGTCGTCGTCGTCGAGCAGCAGCAGTTGGGCAGTCGCGAGGCACGTCTGGCGCCGCGAGGGCGGCGTGCGCGGCTTCTACCTCGGCGGGGCCGTGACGGCGCTGCGGGACGGCGTCGGGTACGGCTTCTACTTTTGGTCGTACGAGCTGTGCTCGCGCTGGATGCGGCGCTGGGACGGGGACGGCGGGGGCGGTAGAGGTGGTGGTGGTGGTGGTGGGGAGGCGGCGCGCGTGCTGCTGTGCGGCAGCGTGGCGGGAGTCGTGACGTGGGCCAGCATCTTCCCGCTCGACACCATCAAGACGCGCGTGCAGGCGCAACAGGTCGGCGCGCTGGGGGCGGCGGTAGCAGCGGCGTCAGAGGGGAGCCCGCTCCTGCCGTCGGCTTCGGACGCGCCAGACCGCAGCCGCCGGCTGGGCGCCGTCGAGGTGGCGCGGGAGGCATACCGCGAGGGAGGGGTTCGCGTCTTCTTCCGGGGCCTGACGGTGTGCAGCGTCCGCGCCTTCGTCGTCAACGCCGCCCAGTGGGCCGTCTATGAGTGGATCATGCGCGAAATGGGCCAGGGCCGGGAGTTGCGGGCTTCGGCGAGCGCCGAGGCCATGGAGGCGGCGGCATAGGTCAGCGAAACAGAAAAATGTTGGAGCATAGCATTTAGACTAGGTATGTCACTGCCATGTGGCACAGACGCACACACATAGACACGAGACAAATGCGGGATAGACGGGGACGAGTCAGCTAGAGCTAGTAATGAGTGGAGTTGAGCACCTATAGTCGCCTGTTTTTCGACCGTGCTATTACAGACATTAAAGAAGGGGGGGTATCGTATTCCGGCATCCTCGTACGTTCATTCAACTGGGTCCTGTTTGCCTCACTCAGTCGTCTGGGAACGACTCCCTAACGTTGGACTCAAACGTGCACGTGTCTCTGTTGAACCGCCTGAAAAACTTGCCCGCGGCGCGCATCAGATTGGCGGGTACGTCTTCGGGGTCGGTTATGAGATCGATGTTGGCCTCGGCCACGATTATCCTGTCCACGTCACACCTCCTGGCGAAATGGGGTTAGCAAAGTCAGAGAGCTAGCAGCGCGTGTACACCAAACGCTCAGTTGTATGCTTACAGGCAGGTGTAATAGACAGGAGGTATCCACAGATCATCGTCCGTCGGCGCCCGGTCAGCAACGTTCTGGAAATTGCTTTCGGCGCTATCGGCATTCCAGCCCGTGATAATGCCTTGGATGTGGAAGCGCTTGTGTATAAAGACCTGGCCGACGTGGTAGCGCACGCGGTGCTGCGTCACCCACGTGTCGCGACGCTGCACAACGAGGGGGCGCTCGTCCACCTTCTGCTCCATCTGGAGCGCAAGGTGCACGTCCTCCCAGCCGGACCGCTGCGAGCCCCGGAGGTTGTGGATCATGAGGAAGTTGTCGTAGAGAGGGGCCAGGTACTTGCGCAGCAGCCAGGCGTCCTCGGAAAAGTACCTGCGGAAGCGGTTCAGGAAATGCTCCAGGTTGTTGTCCCACAGTCGCTGCGCCGTCGGCGTCAACAGGAGGCTAACCCAGAGCACGGCGTACAGCATCGACTCCATGTTGGGCGAGTTGTCGGCGCCATGGGAGCCGCTGTTGGGCGGATCGTCGCGCGCTTGTTGTAGCCGCACGCACGACACCTGAATGTTGTGTGCCGCGCGGACGATCAGGACCGAGCTTGGTGAGGCTTTCAGGAAGACCTCGCGGCGGCCGGGCTCGTGCCAACCGCTGCTGTACTCCTCGAGCCGCATGCGTAGCTCCTCGATGTGGATCTCGTGGTCGGCCCCATATGGGTCGAGGTACATCATGTCGGGCTCGTGCCGCGGCGGGTCTTGGGGGCGCACTCCATCCAGCGTCTCGCCCGAGGGCGCAAAGACGCCGACGTGAACGTGGGCCGGGAAGGAACAGCAGGCGGCGCGCATGCCGACCCTCTCGGCCAGGCTCGCGTAGATGGCGCTAGACACCAGCGGCAGAGACGGATGGTTCTTGTCGCGCAGCGCGTGGCCTAGCAGGCAGTTCTGGATATTGCGGTAGTTGGTGTCGGGGTTGTCCATGCCAGTGAGGTTCTCGGACCTAACCCATTGGAGCAGCAACAGCGCCTTGCGACGCGTGCTCAGGCCCTCGAAGCCGGGGTGGGCGGCCAGGAAGTCGCGGGCGAGGCTGTCGAGGAGCGCCTCGGTGTCGTCTATGTCTCCACTGTGCTCGCGCAGCGTAAACATATCGAAGGCGGCGAGGGCGCGGTCCAAGCGTGGCGGGCCGGCGTGTGGCGACTGGAACTTGGCCCACTCCTTGATGGCGACGCCGCGGTGGATGCTTTCCAGAGCAGCGCCGGCGTAGTATCTCCTAGCCAGCACATCTTCGGCATCGTCGGGCGTCCTGCACTGCTCCAGGAGGATGTCCTTGGCGTCGTATTCCAGCAGGCAGATCTGCCCAAACTTGTCCACCCGGCCCAGCTTGGTGGCCAGAATGTCGTCCAGCAGGCGCAGCACGCGCGCGTTCTGGCCGCGACGCAGCATCCACAGCCGCTTCCAATCTACGACGGGCGCGGGGAGGGCCAGCTTCAGCGGGAAGTCATGTCGGGGGTCCCAGTGCCTGAAGCTGGTGCGACAGTGGTGTTTCCAGAGCAGGGGCTCGTTGGCCAGCCGTGAGTGCCTTCGCGAGATGAGCTGGAAGCTAGAGAGGTTCTCTTCAGGCGACACGTAGTATAGAATCCGAACCATGATCTCGTCGGGCACAGCGCAGTGCAGGCTGGGACCCCTGGCTGCACCCGAGGTCTGGCGCCGTGGCCGCCGAACAGGCGCGCGCGACACCTCCATCGCTACCTTGGGTGCTAGGTTAGGCGCAGGCAGACAAGGCGCTGGCGAGCGAACAGACTCTGAACAATTAGCACCTCCCGATCAGGTGGCAGGTGGTAGGTAGAACTTGGAAGGCAGGAGGGCTTCCATGCATGCACTCAAAGTGTGTGCCAGGATCGTCGCATCTTGGCTGCACCTGCCTTGCGATTGCGACGGAATCGCTCCTCTTTTTATGTCTGCGCGGCATGCAGAAGAGCGCAATTTAGCAGTGCTGTGACCCACTGGGCCGTGCTGGGCTAATCCCCTTTTCCGCGTGCCGGCCGGATCCCTGGAGCAATGATCATCATCGAGGCCTTCCTAGTCGGACCCACCGCGTTTTCGTGCGTACCGGATACTTCCGAGCTGGAGGGGCTGGGTGGCTGGGCCAAGTACCGGCTACAAGTCGAGTGGCGCGGGCGGTCAATGGCAGCAAATAAACACGCTGCAGCCGTTTTGGCGGGGTAGCTGGAGATCTCGATAGCGAACAGCCCAAGCGAACAGCCCACCATTTACGGATGCACAGCACAGCAGAACCGTAGCCTGCCATTGAGTCACCGCCTGCTGGGCTCGGATCCATATATCAAAGCCTGGCCGACACCCGTCTCTTTTTCATTGGGACTCTGTAAGACTTCCTCCCGTCTTGGGCCTCCACGACGTCAACCGCCCGTCTGCCAACCACACGCGCCCACCATGGAGCCAGCCAAGGAGGCCATCGACGCCCTCGCTGAGGGCGTCAAGAAGGTCGTCGTTGGCGCCGGCCAGCCCAAGGAGGGCAAGAAGGGTGCCGCCAAGAAGGAGAAGAAGGGCGCCGCTGCTGCCGCCGCCGACGCCGGCCCTCTCGAGCTCAACCCCCCGCCGTCGTTCCTGCAGGACCGCGTCGAGCTCTTCGACCGCCTGAAGAAGGAGTATGATGCCGAGGTCGCCCAGAAGCCGCGCGACCCCATTACCATCACCATGCCCGACGGCAGCGTCAAGCCGGGCGTCGCTTGGCAGACTACCCCTGCCGATATCGCCAAGGGCATCTCCACCAGCCTCTTCAAGCGCACCGTGGTCGCGAGGTTGGATGGCGACAAGGAGCAGCTGTGGGACCTGGAGCGTCCACTCGAAAGGAGCTGCAAGCTGGAGCTGCTCGATTTCACCGACCCCCAGGGCAAGTTTGTCTTCTGGCACTCCAGCGCACACATCCTTGGCGAGGCCACCGAGCGCCGTTTCGGCTGCAGCCTGTGTATCGGCCCCCCGGTCGACAATGGCTTCTACTACGAGATGGCGCTGCCCGATGGAGGTGCTGTCCAGGCCACCGACTGGAAGCCCCTCGAGACCATCGTGTCCAAGATCGTCAAGGAGAAGCAAAAGTTCGAGCGCCTTGTGCTGAGCAAGGAGGACCTGCTGGAGATGTTCAAGTACAACAAGTACAAGCAGCATATCATCAAGGACAAGATCGCCGATGGCACCAAAACCACCGTGTATCGCAACGGTCCCCTTATCGACCTCTGCAGGGGGCCCCACGTCCCCGACACAGGCAGGATCGAGGCCTTCGCTATTATGAAGAACTCTGCCAGCTACTTTCTTGGCGACAAGGACAACGACTCGCTTCAGCGCATCTACGGTGTCAGCTTCCCCACCAAAAAGGAGCTCACCGAGTACAAGAAGTTCTTGGAAGAGGCTGCCAAGCGTGATCACCGCCTGATTGGCAAGCAGCAGGAGCTCTTTTTCTTCCACGACTACAGCCCCGGCTCCGCCATGTGGCTGCCCCACGGAACCAGGATCTACAACACCCTGCTGGCATTTATCCGCGATATCTACTGGGACAAGAACTACGAGGAGGTCATCACCCCCAACATCTACAACGCCGACCTGTGGAAGCAGTCGGGCCATTGGGAGTTCTACAAGGACGACATGTTCGTTATCCAACAGGATAAGGAGACCTTTGGCCTCAAGCCCATGAATTGCCCCGGACACGCCCTCATGTTTGCCCACCGCGAGCGCTCGCACCGTGAGCTGCCGTGGCGCGTTGCCGACTTTGGTGTCCTCCACCGCAACGAGGCCTCGGGTGCGCTCTCGGGCCTGACACGAGTGCGCCGCTTCCAACAAGACGACTCCCACATCTTCTGCCGTGAGGACCAGATCAAGGACGAGATTCTCGACCTGTTCGACTTCCTGAGGAAAATGTACAGCGTCATGGGTCTCACTTTCAAGTTACGCCTATCCACCCGCCCCGAAAAGTACATGGGCGCCCTGGATACCTGGAACAAGGCCGAGGATTCCCTCCGCGAGGCGCTCGACATTTTCTCTACATCCGAGGGCGGCGTCCCTTGGGAGCTGAACGAGGGCGACGGTGCCTTCTACGGACCGGTGAGTCTCGGCCGCTAACAATAGTTAAACGGAACAGCTGGCTAACAAACAGGTAGAAAATCGACATTGCTATCATGGACTGTCTCAACCGCGAGTGGCAATGCGCCACGATCCAGCTCGACTTTGTGCAGCCTCAGAACTTTGGCCTGGAGTACATGGCAGGCGAGGACACGGCCGAGACCAAGGCCAAGGCTGAGGAAGCCAAGTCGACCGCGCCACAGGCGCCCAAGGTCAAGGTCAAGGACCCTCAGGCCGTTATCGACTCGTCCAACGCAGCGGCCAAGGCAGGAGAGGCGGCTGCTGCCGGTGCCGAAGGCGAGAGTAAGAAGGAGAAGGTCATCAAGAAGCTCACTCCAGGCTGCGCACGCCCCGTCATGATCCATCGTGCCATGGCCGGATCCATCGAGCGGTTCACGGGTATCTTGTGCGAGCACTTTGCCGGAAAGTGGCCAATGTGGCTGTCTCCCCGCCAGATTCTCGTGGTGCCCGTCGGCAAGGGTTTCTACGACTACGCCGAGGAGGTCAGGGGCATCTTCAAGAAGGCCAAGATGCACATTGATGTCGACACTTCTGGAAACGTGAGAACCCCGAGAACCCCTCTTTGCGCCAAGAAGCCGCCCCTTTGCGTCTTGACCTCAACTGACAAGGTTTGGCCTGTATAGACGCTGCAGAAGAAGATTCGCACGGGACAGCTAGCGCAGTACAACTTCATTTTCGGTAAGTCTCCTTGTGTCTATGGTAGCATCCGGATATGGAGATCGCAGTGCTAATCAAGTTATGTTGCAGTCGTGGGAGCCGAGGAGATGAACGGTAGACAAGTCAACGTCCGCAACCGCGACGATCCGGCTACCCAAGACCGTGGCCAGCCCATAGCGCTAGACGAGGCCATCGAGAAGCTCACCAAGCTGAGGGACGAGAGGGGGACCTACAACCCATTCCCTGCACCCGCCAAGCCGGAAGCGACGAAGCCTACCGCCTCCTGAGTGTATACGTAACTTCGTGCTGTGATGGCTGGGTGTGACAAGAGGTGCCTAGAAAAGACGGAGAACAAAATATAGAAACAAGAAATGTCGTCAAATCCACAGATGAATCGGGAGCCTTATTAAGTAGAAAGTGACATTAAATCATGATTGGTTGTTTACTGTAGTTTACACAAACAACCCTTGTTTGTCGTTTGTTTGTGATGGTTGGAAAGGCGGCATCCACTTCTCGTCGCCCGCAAAGTCACAAATGCGCACAGTATCGAAGACAATGAATCAGAAAAAGAAACCCAGGACGAAGCTCCTATTATGTGCTCTAAACCCCCTAGCCCCCAGAGGGCACTTTAGTTCCAATAACCAGAGAGGTCGTGTCGGGGAAACTTTGGTATTCTGGTCGCTGATTGCTCAAAGTCACGTAGCTAGGGAAAGGGGAGAAAGAGGGACAAGTTGGGACGACGGCGGCATGACGACCAGCAAACACCAAGCTCAAAACATGACACGAAAAAGATGAGAAAAAAAGGCGATAGCTTTCCCCAGAGGGTGGGGTACACACAAACCAGCCATATCCGCCACTTAGGGCTTGGGGATGTGGATGGTCTTGCTCGTCATGAGGCAGCCGTGCACGACAAAGATTGCGACGACGGGGTGGAACTCGAAGGCGGTGCCGGCGAGCCAGACGCCGCCGGGGATGGCGGCGTGGACGGCGCCGGCGCGGACCCAGTAGGCCATGAGGGCGTCGAGGCCGAGGCTGGTGGGGATGGGGGTGCCCTCGAAGTAGGCGGCCTTGCCGGTGCCGTCCTTTGGTATCTCAGCCGCCGTCACGTTGAAGCGGGCCAGGCGCGTCAGGCCGCAGAGGACGAAGAAGGCGAGGGCGAGGTGGTCGAGCGGCGTGCGCATGCCGATGGCGAAGGCGACGACGGCGGGGGCGACGCCAAAGGTGATCTGTCAGGGGGGGTGAAAGGGGGCGGCAACATGTCAGCGGCCATCGCCTTGTTGTCATGTCAAAAAGATGCGGAGGCAAAACATACCAGGTCGGCGAGCGAGTCGAGCTCCTGCCCCATCATGCTGCTCTTCTTGCGCCAGCGCGCGACCTTGCCGTCCATAAAGTCGAAGAAGAGCCCGAAAGGCAGGAAGCCGAGGGCGGCGTAGATGTTTGCGTGCTCGGCCGGGTCGCCGAGGCAGTAGCGCATCGACGAGAAGATGGACAGCACGCCGCACAGCCCGTTGAGCTCCGTGATCAGGTCCGCCAGGTGCATGGCCCGTACGAGCGAGAAGCGCGGGGTGCCGCCGGGGGAAGACGACGACGACGTCAGGAGCGCCTTTTGTTTGTCTTGGCCTGGGGGTTGTGAGAGGAGTGTTTTTGTTAGCTAACGGTAGTAGGCTTGAGGCTAAAATGACGGGGTTTGTTTGCCCCCGGGCAACAGATCAAGCCATACCTGTCGGGTCGCTAGAGGCATCCCGAGAGCCGCCGCCGCCGTTGGCGCTTGTCCTCTTCGACATGGTGGGTAGGTGGGCGGGGGAGAAGGGCCTTGTCTGTGCTTCGGGGGTATGGTTGAAAGTTGGAGCCAAGACAGGTTGCTGGTGATTTAAACAGCCAAAGATGGAGAAGAGAAAAGCAAGACCAGGTAGGGTAGCAGGGCGACAACGGTGGTGATGACGACGGGGGTGGTGTGGTGGTGTCGGCGGTGTTGCTGCGTGGGCTTTGTTGCTTCTTTATTTGGTGGATTTAATCTGCTGAGCGTCGGGTCGCCACGGCGTGGTCGCAGGCGGTCAAGCGGAGTCGAAGCTTTTCGCATCACAAGCAGGGAACCGACAGGGGTCCCAGGCCTGATGCCGTCATGACCCCTTCCCTAGTACGACCGTCTAGACCCAACAGAGGCTAGCGCTACAATACACGTGACGCTCTGGGTTGTTTGGCGGGGTCGATCCATCCAGCTGGAGCCTAGAATGGTGTGCTTGACTGCCGTCCAAGCTGGGAGCCTCCAATAACGTGGGGGTGGCATTTGGAGAGGATTTGGAGAGCTGCATGCTGCATACGGTATTCAGCAACAACTGAGCATGGGATGGGTGGGCGTTTACCATTCGTTGAAAACTACCTATATTTCCAAGATACGACCGGAAGTGAACCACAAGCAAAACGACAAAGCCATCTTTTACGGCAGAATCTAAAGCCATGCGAATCGTCTCGTCTAAAAGC